TGTTTTCATTCATCTCAAATTTTTCTAATTACACTTGTGATTTCTTATTTGACTTGTTTTACAGTGTGTTTTAATTTCAATCAATGTTAAATTTTTTTTTCAGTTAGCCTGTTATTGATTACTAGTGTTAATCTATGGTCATTGGAGGAGGTGTTTTATATGGTTTTAGTCTTTTAAAATATTAATGAAACTTGTTTTATGTCCTAACATATACTGTGTCCTGGAGTATGTTCCATGTGCACTTAAAGACTATATTATATTCTTTTTATGTGGAGTTTTCCATACCTGTCTTTTGGTCTACTGTAGTTGGTCTGTAGTGTTGTTTATGTCTCATATACCCTTATTTTCTGTGTGCATGTTTTGTCCCATAGTAAATGCAGGATGTTAAAGTCTTCAGCTATTATTCTAGAGCTCCTGTTTCTCTATTTGATTGTCAATGTTGGTTTCATGTATTTTAAGAATCTGTATGAGGTGCATGCATATTCATAATGGTCTATGTTCTTGATGAATTTTTTTTTAATTTTATTTAAGGAGAAAAAGAAAAAAAGCAGAGAAAGGGTACAAGTTATACCAATTTACAGAAAAAAATAAACAGTAGGAAATTACTAGTTAATGGATTATATATTGTCATCTTAGAAATAATTGTTCAAGTTACAGAATTAAAGCTTATAAAGTGGACATTCCAACAGTGAGACTGCAAATAGTTTTGTTCAATGATCCAACAAAACTCAGTAATATCATTATCTATCTTATACACTTAAATATACATGCAGTTATATCGTTTAGAGCACTTTCTTTTCCTCTCTTTTGCACAATGACAATTACACATTTTGGGTTTTGTTGCTCCCACAGTTCTTATTATTTTTTTGGAAGAGAGTAGAACCAAATGTGACATCACAGAACAGAGTCAGTCAAATCAAAAGGGTGGACATAATAGATAATGTAAAAGCATAATACAAGGTGATCAACAATGGTTACCATAATGCCTCCCGCTATCTCTAATAGAATTGCCTGTATCATCAGTTATAATAAAATTGAACAAAACACTAAAGAACAAAACCGGCAAAACCAAAACATTGGAGACATTATAGGTCTTCAAAAGTAGATAATAGTCAACCAGAATGGGCGTCATAATGAATCCCACTATCTTTACAGCTGTTGCCTAAACTTTCGAACCTGGTACTATCAAGCAAAACAGAATAGAGGGACATCAGTCAAAACAAGATGGCAAGGGCTTTAAATCAAGATAATGGAAAGTCAAAGTGGGTTACTATAATATATCCTGCTATTTTTTTATTTATTTTTCCCTTAATTAAAAGGATAAAAATAAAAAAGTAAATAATAAAATGGAGATTGAGATAAAAGTGGGCATAACAGCAAAACAGCGCAGATCAAAACATAACCATTTAAGCAAAATAGTGTTTCACCACAAGATAATCCCGACATAAAAGTAGTTACCATATTGTCTCTTTCCTTGAAATCTTTGAGTATAACTTCGTATACTGTAGCATCAAATATATCAAAACAATGTAAAACCATTTAAGAGAATGACAGTATTACGGGGTATTTAGAATCAACTAACAGAAAATGAACAATGGTTTCTGTATAATCTCCTTGTCTATAAAAGTTTTTGCTTATACTATCATACATAATAAAATCCAATAAGATACAACCTGTTTAGATCAATGGAGACAGAAGATATGTTCTTGATGAATTAAAGACATCATTAGTATATAATGCTATTCTTTGCCTCCTATAACAATTTTGACTTAGTTTATTTTGTCAGATATTACTATAGCCACTCCAGCCCTCTTTTTGCTTAGTGTTGTTATGAAATATCTTTTTTTCAGCCTTTCGTTTTTAACCTAATGGTTTTGATCAAATGTATTATCTCTTATATATGCTATACAATTCAATCATTTTTTGCTGCGTTTTGTCTCAGTCTCTGCCTTTTTATTGGTTTTAATTTGTTTGTTTAAAGTGAATGCCTATTACAAAGAGCTCATTCTATTTTTGCTGCTTTTTATTTTTGTTGTTTTTTATTTGTATGTTTTTAGTATGTAATAGTCATGTTAATACTGGGAAATTGGTACATATATGTAACATATCTTAATAATTTTTATCCCTTTACTTCTACTCCTATTCTCCCACTTCCTCCAGATCCCTTTCCTCAACTTCAAAAAGCCTGCCACTTAGAGACAGGGTCTCACTAAGTTGCCCAGGCTGGCTTGTAACTTCTAGGCTCCAACGATTCTCTTGACAGCCTCCTGAGTATTTGGAACTACATGTGCATGCCACCTCACCCAGCTTCTGTATGTTGTCTATATGACTAGTATTAAATCATTTTGGTTCTTCACACACATACTTTATTGCTTTGTTTTATGTTTAACTAATTTTTGTGGTTTACCAATTTGATTCACTCATTTCCTTTTTGTTTATTTTAGTTCTTTTCGTAGTAATTACCTGGTAATTAAAATTAACATCCTAACTATGACAATCTAGTTTGAATTGATGCCATTTAGTTTCCACAGCACACAGAAACTTGGTTTCTGGACAGTCTCAATTTTCCCCAATGTGTCATAAATTATATTTTCATGCATTGTATTCCCACTGACACAGATGAATAGCTAATTGTCTTATGTTTTTGTCTTTTAAAGCACTTAGAACACAATAAGAGAATTTTATGTATCTATGTTGTATACTGTGCTGATTACCAAACCATAAAACTATTTTAGAAACCACAAATATAATAATCTAGGCTTTTATGTTTTCATTTGTGTTACCATATTGGTATTATTTCTTCTTTCAAGTTACTTTCTATTGTCTTTTTATTTTAGCCTTCCGGACTTTGACTAGCATTTCTTAAAGGGAAAGTATATAATGGCTTACTGTCTCAACTTTTTTGGGAATGTCTTATTGTGCCTACTTCATTATGTATTCTTGGCACCTATGACAAAAAACAAGGGTTTATTTCTGGGCTCTCTTCTGTTTTGTTGGTCTGTATATCTGCTACGCCAATACCACATTGAGTTAATTAATATTGTTTTGTGGGGTTTTTTTTGTAATGGGAATTAAACTACGCCTTCACACTGAGCTACATCTCCAGCCCTTATTTTACATTTTATTTTGAGACAGAGTCTTGCTAAATCGCTAAATTGTGCCCGGGATGGGTTTAAACTTAGAATCCTCCTGCCTTAGCCCCTCAGCCTCTTGTGATTAGAGATGTGAAACCCTTATCTTTTTAATGAACGTATTTAAATATATTTTCTTTCAGTGTACAGATTATATTATAATCTACATTCTCTCTTCTTGAATGGAATACCTTTTGCAAGTCACTTTGCACATAGCATCCTTAACCCTCACAAGTTTGTAAGACAGGTGATATCTTTTATGGATGAGGATTTTGAGATTTAAAAAGTTACACTAGGACACTAGTGGCTCAGTACAGGATTTCAAAGTAATTGTTTGACCCTGAGGTATGGTGGCTTTCTACTATACCACTCTTCTTTCTATGAGGTGGAAAACTTTTTAGACCCACCAAAATAACAGTAATGGCTATAGTAGGTAGGACCCTCTTCAAAATACTGTGTTAACCTGATACATTTATTTATTTATTTATTTTGTACTGGAATCGAACTCAGAACCTCATGTTTGCCAGGCACACACTGTGCCACTGAGCTAAATCTCTAGCCCTTGATACATTTCATCTGGGGGGGGCAATCAAGGACTCCTCTTTTTTTTTTTTTACATTTTTTTTGTCTTTTTCTTTTTTATCAGTACCAGGGATCGAACTCACGACTGCCTGCTTGCAAGGCAGGCGCTTATGCCGCTGAGCTAAATCCCCAGCCCCCAAGGACTCCTCTTTTTAAAATTTTTTTAATTTTAATTTTTATCTTTTGGTATTTTGAGACAAGGTCTCGCTGTATATTCTAGGCTGGCCTTAAACAAACTGTAGCTCAGATTGGCTGTGAACTTGGGCAGTTCTCCTTCCTCTGCCTCCCAAGTACTGGGAATACAGATGTGTACCATCACGCCTGGCTAGGAAATTTTTTTAAGAAGTCAAGAAGCAAGAGTTTTATAAGCCCTTTTGATCAATGCAGAAGGCCCGAACACAGACTCACTTTTCTACATAGAAGCCATCTGGGAAGAAATGTAAGACTGGATTCCTCTGACGAAGTAGAATTCTTGAGAAATTTGAAGCTAATCATTAGGAGCAATGGATTAGTGTGATTTGGGAGAAGTTCTCACTATTACAGTTCTCTTCTATTTTAGTAGTGGCATCAAAGTTTGATTTCATGAATCGCATCTTTCTACATGTTCCCATTAAATCCTATGTGTGTTGATTGTGAGGAAAGAATATGATAAACTGTGTTTGTTTGTATTTCTGTTCGATAAGATTCTTGTACGTATGTGTTTTGTCATTCTTATCATGTAGCTCCAGTAATTTTATTCCCAGAGCAGTCCAAGTAGTCTTTTTCTTCTTGTTAATGTATAGTAAATGTGCACTGTTAATTTTTCATTCATTCAGCGAACAAAGAGGACCTGCACTGTACTGTAGTAGACTCCCTTAATATGAAATCAAATAATATGTATCTCTGCCCTCATGATAAATTAGGTGCAATAGGTTTTAATAATACTGTATAACATGTCCATTACAGATATGTAGAGGATGCTGTGGATATTTGAATAAGGCATCTGAATCAGATTAGGAGAATAAGGGAAGGCTTTTTGTAGGAAGTGGATTTTGAAAGGCGAGTGAAATGACTCATGAAAATACTCACCAAATGAGTGAATGAAGTAGAATTAGTTAAATATGGGACAAGGACTTTTGCAGCAAGGATGCAAAGTTAGAAGAGGCATAAAATGAGATAATCAAGGACTCTTATAATTGAGTATGGATTGTGTTAAGGGTAGGAGAGTAAGAACTGAAGTACATATTATTTTGTCTTTACTCTTTTGTATGAGATCTCAATTTACCCTGCTTTTACCTCTCCATGCAGTCTACCCTTCCTTGGAGTCAGATGATGATGATCCTGCTTTGAAATCTCGACCTAAGAAAAAGAAAAATTCAGATGATGCTCCATGGAGTCCTAAAGGTGATCCTTTTATTCTGTAGGGGTTATTTGGGGGGGGGAATAGATTAGAGGTTGGAAGGATATTTAATGTAAGACCAGGTTCAGTTACTCATTTGTTTGTCCAGGAAATATTTGTTATGTACAGGTATCATGTTAGGTGTTAGAGCTTAAATGATCAACATGGCACAGTTATTTTATATAATCACTCCAGAAAAATCAGAAATAAATATTGTTTTTGATGTTATATGACTTGACATAAAAAGAGGAAGATCCTGAACAGATTTTACCTTCTTTACCTTCTTGTACTTCTGGGAACATATTAACGCCATCATCCTAGCTTTCTGATAATTTCATTAGCAAAGAGGGAAACTTCTGCTGACTGTTGAGTTCTCTGCAAGGCTGAAGACTGTTGCTTTATGGATAAGCTGTCTCTGAGGAAGGAAGAATAATGTTTTGAGTTGAATGTGGAATTTAGAGGGCAATAAAATAAGTTTCTCAATCTCATTGGCTCAATGATTTTTTATATTGGAGGATGGTGTATCAGTTAGCTTCTGCTGCATAAAAACAACCAAAACTGAGTGACTTCAAACAAAAATAGTTGATAATTTGTTATGATTCTCAAGTTTGATTGAGCTGTTCATCCAGTTTGACTAAACTTGACTGGGACTGAATGGTGTAAAAAGTATCTGGGATCTAACTTGGATAGGTAGGGCCTTTCTCTTTATGGTCATTCATCCATCAGGAAGCCAGCTCAAACAAGGTGGCAGAAGGCTTTGCAAGAGCAAGAAAGGAAAGGATATAAACAGTTTTGAAGCCCCTGCTTGTGTAATGTTTGCTACTGTTCTATTGACTAAAGCAAGTGACATAGCCTTAATTCCACAGCTAAAGAAGTAGGTTACATTTCTTCAGTCACATTCTACTTTCTGCAGAACTCTACTTTGTGCAAAATTCTACTGTGGAGATTGCTAGGATCTTGGTGCATGTGATTCTCAGGCAGTAAAGGACTTGATGTTGCCATTCAGCATTATTGAACTTTTCTAGTGTTTGGTTGAAGTTGGGACAGCAGCACAGTCCTAGGAAGTGCTCTTTTAGTCAATTGACTTTTTTTAAAATCAGACTTATTTTCTCCTATGATTTCTAGTTTTACTTTCTCCTGTCAAAGTAGATTCTTTTGATTTGTATTATAAAAAATTTATGAAAAAATATTGAAAATAAAGGAAATCATGAAGGGGAGACTGCTTGTCATGTTGCCACCCCAGAAGCAGCCACTGTTTACATTTTAACATATTTCCTTCTAGTCTTTTTTTCTATGCATTTTTTTCTTTTTGCAGTTGGAGTAGTTACTGTACATGCAGTCTTATCACCTAGCCTTTTAAATTTTTTATCTTTTAATCAAAGACAGCATCGCAGCAAATAAAATGGTATAAACAGGTTTAGGGTGTAAAGTAGTATTCTTCTGCCCCTGTTTTCTCCACTTTTCTTACCTGAAAGATAGTCTCATAGGTTTCATTTTCCTAGTAAATATGTCTAAAACTGAGTGTCATCAAGTACATAGCACCATATTTTGACTTACCAACTCAAATTTCTATTTCTCTTTTCTTTGACTTCTGGTACCCTTACTCTTCTTTGACTTTCTTCGACTTCTGTGCCCTTACTTTTTTTCTACCCTCCTAGCTTTCTACATGCTATCTTTTTCAGTTATACCATTAGCGTTCTTAACACATATATTGTCTTGTTATTAATACTTTTCACTTATTAAAGGTCGACTCTAAAAATTGAAGACTAATAAATACATATGGACTTTTAAATCAATATTATAAGAAAGTTCCTATGGTATTGTTGATAAGTAATATTTTTTTTTTTGTCTTTTTCATTTTTATCGGTTCCAGGGATCGAACTCACGACCGCCTGCTTGCAAGGCAGGTGCTTATGCCGCTGAGCTAAACCCCCAGCCCCGATAAGTAATATTTTTGATGACTAAAATTTCAGTGGAAATATCTGAAATACCTAACTGCTTCTTTGATTTAGGGCATTTAGGCTATTTTTGAATTTGTAAATTAGTGATAATATTTGGAGTGAACATCTTTATATGTAAATATACCTCTGATACTATACTTAAAATCGATCTTCATGAAACAGAAGGGCCGAAGTATATGAAGATAAACAGTAAAACATTTTCCCCTCCTGTTCTACATAGCCTTCCAACTTCCCACTTGCAATTAAACACTGTTACCAGTTTATTTTTTGAGATATAGTTTATGCCAATACAAGGAAATACATATACATGATTGCTTTTCCTTTTACTTTATTCAGTTGGAAATGTACTTTTATGCTGTGTTTTGCTTTCTCACTTACTAATACATTGTTTACACTCCCATAAGCAAAGCTTGAGAGTACCTAATTCTGTACACCTTTGCCAACAATTTGTTAATAAGAATGTTTTAAAACTCTTGATATACCTTGCCAAATTGCTTTCTAGAAAGGTTGTACCAATTTACATGCCTACAAGCCATGTTGTAAGAATACTTGTTTATAAAATGCTTGCAAACATTGTTCATCTAAATTAGAAATAGTGTTTGGTTATAAGTAACAGGAACCTTGAGCATACTTAGAGTGTGTTTAGTCATATGTGGTTATAAGATGGCTACTGCATATCTAGCATTGGCATCTGGGTAGCAGTTGGGAAGGGGAAAAGCAAAAGGAATAAGGAGGCTGAATATTCCCTCTCCCCCAAGAATTTTAAAAACATCCTTGGTTGAATGATATCATGTGGCCAAGAAAGTCACAGAGTCAGATCTATAGTTTCTATCTAGGTATGAGAAGTAATCAAAATATACAGTGAATATTTAAAAAATTTATTGTAGTAAAAGATATATTGCTATTAAACTTTTCCAAAGCTGAGTGTGGTGAAACATGCATATAATCCCAGCACTTCAGAGATTGAGGAAGGAGGATTGTTATCAATTTGAGGCCAGTGATGGGTTAGTGTATTCAAGGCAAGTTTGAACTATAGCAATACCCTGTTTTAACCCCCATACAAATGTCCCACCAAAAAGATATCCCGCACATCATTCCCCCTTGCTTTAAAAATACTTAGCACATTGTTCTTGCCACTTTCTAAAGTAGTTTGAGAAGTTCTGTTTCATGGATGTCTGTAGGAGGTGTGATAAATAATTTGAATGTACCTGCCTAGTGCCATTCAATAGTAGGACAGGCTCAAAAAAACATTTCAGTGTATCCTCATCCATCTTGTTTACCAGACCTGGAACTGTGTAATTTCTTGCTATTCCCTAAAGTTAAAAATTACCATTGAAGATAAATGATCATTTTGAATTTATTCAGGGCATGTTCAGAGTGAGAGGGAGTGTTTTGGGGAGGATGAATGGCAGTATGTCATTTACTGTCTTAATATTTTTTTTGGTCTTTTTGAGACAGGGTTTCACTATGCAGTTTAGGTTAGCATTGAACTGACTTTGTATCCCTAGATGGCCTTGAACTCTCAGTGATCCTCCTGCCTCGACATCCTGAGTACTAGAATTATAGACATGTGCTATCACATCCGATCATTACTCTCACAACTTTTTTGCGGGGGGGTCTTTTTCATTTTTATCGGAAGAAAATAAAACCAAACAAAACAAAGCAGAATAAACTCAATCAAAACAAAACAGTGAAAGTGATTGAGGACTTCAAAACAAGATAATAAGAAATCAACATTGGCAGCCATAATGCCTCATTATCTTCAGAACAGCTGTCTATACCATCAGACATTAAAATCAAAACAGAAAAGAATAAAACCAATAAAAACAAAACATGAAAGTGATGCAGGATTTCAAAACTAGATAATAGTAAATAAACAGTGGCTACCACGATGCCTCTTATTATCTTCAAAATAGCTGCCCATACCATCAGTCGTAATGAAAAAAAAAAAAAAAAAACCCAGAATGAAACCAATCAAAACAAAACAGTGAAAGTGATACAGGCTTCAAAACAAGATAATAGGAAATCAACAATGCCTACCATAATATATCTTTTTATGTTCAAAATAGTTGTCCATGCCACCAGATATAATAAAATTAAACCAAACCAAACAGAGTAATACCAATCAAAACAAAGCAATGAAAATGATATAGGACTTTAAAACAAAATAATAGGGAATTACCAGTGGCCACCACCTTCCCTTTTTAGACATTTCATCTCCTTTCACTTTCATAGTACATTGTACATTTTAGATTCCACTAACTTCTTCAGTTCTTTGTACCAGGGTGACAACATGATGTTCACCTATGTGAGTCTAAATCATTTCACTCAAGAGCATGATCTCATGTTGCATCCATTTACCTACAAGAGCCTCATGATTATCCTTCTATATAGCTGAGTATCTTTCCATTGTATAAAAAATGTCCTACCTTTCTTATCTATTCTGTGGTTAATGGGCAAGCTATCCCTACTCTTTTCTGGTTCCGAATCACACAGAGCACTATTTTCTCCTTTGATTTTCAGTCTATGAATTTCCTTTTGAGTTACTGTGTTTCTTGTCTACCACATATTGATGGATCTTGTTCCTTGATCCCACTCTGCCTGTGTTTATTTTTGGTGGTGAAATGAAGTCGTCCATATTAATGGTTTTGGCCAATATGTACTGGTTTGTCTCTGCCTTGCTATTTCCCTGCTGTTGGCTCCCTATTTTCCCCCGCCACTCAACTGTGTGTGCTATTTGGTGATCCCCTTCTACTGCTGTTCTTTGAACTGAGGTCATTTTTCTCTCTCTCTAGAATATCCTTCAGTACTCTTTTTAGGCTTGGTTTGGTTTTCATGAATTCCTTTAGTTCTTTGTCATAGAAGTATCCTATTTCTCCATTAATTTTGGAAGATAGTTTTTCAGGGTACATAATCTGAGTTGGAAGTTGTTTTCTTTTAGGACTTCAAATACTTCACTCTAGGCTCTTCTTGACTTCATGGTTTGTGTTGAGAAGTCTGCCATGATTCTGATGGGTTTTCCTTTATAGGTGATGTTTCCTTTC